GAGTTCTCGGATTATGCACTTGTTTGGTGGGATCAGTTGGGAACAAAACGAAGGAGAAACAGGCAGCGTCCTATTGAGACGTGGGATGAGATGAAAGGAATTATGAGGGATCGGTTTGTACCGAGTTCCCATTTGCGAGATATGTATCAAAACCTCCAGCTTCTTCGGCAAGGAACTAAAAGCGTTGAAGATTATCACAAGGAGTTGGAAGTGTTGATGATACGTGCTGATGTGAGAGAGGACCGCGAGGCTACCATAGCTCGTTTTCTTTATGGTCTCAATCGAGAGATCAAGAACGTGGTGGAGATACAACCGTTCCTTGAACTTGAAGATTTGGTGGATATGGCAAGTAAAGTGGAACGACAGCTTCGAAATAGGAGGTTTCAACCCTCCATGAATTCCACACGTTCGAGCCAAGGAGTTGCAACCAACCCTAAGCCGCAACTGCCCGTGAAAGAAGCTCATAGACCCGTGGCAAGGGCTGATGGTGCAAATCCATTTATGAAGCAAGGTGGATCGTCGGGGGAAATTCGTTGTTTCAAATGTCATGGAAGAGGACACATTGCAAGCCAGTGTGCCAATAAGAAGACCCTGATCTTGCTTGATAATGGTGAGTATGTATCAGAGGAAGAGGAAGAGACCACCGATTCTGATGTCGATGAGTCTATGGAAATGGAACCACCTCCAGGCAGCTTGTTTGTAGCACGGAGAGTATTGTCTGTGCAGCCTAAGGAGGAGAGTGAACAGAGAGAAAATATCTTCCATACGAGATGTGTAGTTGATGGGAAGTTGCTGTCTCTAGTGATCGATGGAGGAAGTTGCACGAACGTTGTGAGCGCGTGTGCGGTGAAGAGGCTAGGGCTGCCTACGTTGAAGCATCCAAAGCCATACACGCTGCAATGGCTTAATGATCACGGATCCATCAAAGTCACAAAGCAGGCACTAATGAAGTTCGAGATTGGAGATTACAAAGATGAGATTTTGTGTGATATAGTGCCTATGCAAGCTGCACATGTGCTTTTTGGCAGGCCATGGCAATTTGATCGACAAGCACAGCATGATGGAGTGACAAATAAGTACAAGTTGCAACATGGAGGAAAGAAGTCCGTGTTGAAGCCTCTGTCTCTAAGTGAAGTATATCGAGATCAACTCCAAATGCAGCAACGTCGAGAGCAAGAAAAGGCAAGTAATGCCTCGACCAAGAAAGGAGAAGAGGGAGCTGGAATTGTGGATTCAAAGGCAGTGATGCTAGCACGCAATGGAGATTTGAAGCAAGCTGCCTGTGCACGAGAACCTTTGATTGTGCTCATGTACAAGGACGTGCTGCTCAATCAAGAGCTAGTCCAAGAAGTTCCAGCCGAAGCAAGAGTGGTGTTGGATGAGTTCGAGGATGTGTTTCCAGAGGAAGCACCGAAGGGGCTGCCTCCTATTCGCGGAATTGAGCACCAAATTGATTTCGTGCCGGGAGCTCAAATTCCAAACAAGGCAGCATATCGAGCTAACCCGGAAGAGACCAAAGAGCTGCAAAGGCAGATTGACGAGCTCATGGAGAAGGGGCATGTTCGAGAAAGTTTGAGCCCGTGTGCAGTTTCGGTGATTCTCGTGCCAAAGAAGGATCACACCTGGCGGATGTGTGTAGACTGCAGAGCCATCAATCAAATTACAGTTAAGTATCGTCATCCAATTCCACGATTAGATGATATGCTTGATGAATTACATGGCTCTACGGTGTTTTCCAAGATTGATTTGAGATCAGGTTACCACCAAATTCGTATGAAGGAGGGAGACGAGTGGAAGACTGCGTTTAAGACCAAGCAGGGTCTATACGAATGGATGGTGATGCCCTTTGGTTTAACCAATGCTCCTAGCACGTTCATGAGGCTGATGAACCATGTTTTGAGGCCATTCATTGGCAAGTTCGTGGTCGTATACTTCGACGACATTCTGATCTACTCGAAGTGCATGGAGGATCATCTCAATCACTTGAGAGAGGTGTTGGCGATGTTGAGAAAGGAGAAATTGTATGCTAACCTCAAGAAGTGCTCGTTTTGCACTTCTAGTGTTATTTTTCTTGGTTTTGTGGTGAGTGCAGATGGAGTCAAGGTGGATGAAGAGAAGGTGAAAGCAATTCGCGATTGGCCTATTCCAACCAACGTGAATGAGGTGCGGAGCTTTCATGGGCTTGCTGGATTTTATCGTCGATTTGTGCCCAACTTCAGCACCATTGCCGCACCATTGACATTCATCATCAAGAAGAACGTGACATTCTATTGGGGAGAGGAACAGACCAGAGCATTCGAGCTGCTCAAGCACCAGCTCACGCATTCACCTATTCTGATGTTGCCGGATTTCAATAAGACATTCGAGGTGGAGTGTGATGCTTCTGGTTTGGGAATTGGAGCAGTGTTGATGCAAGAGAAGAAGCTGATTGCTTACTTCAGCGAGAAGTTGAGTGGGGCTGCCCTCAACTATCCGACGTACGACAAGGAGCTTTATGCTCTAGTTCGAGCCTTAGAGACATGGCAGCACTATCTTTGGCCGAAGGAGTTCGTGATTCACACTGATCACGAGTCATTGAAGTATTTGAAAGCTCAACACAAGCTGAACAAGAGACATGCTCGATGGGTTGAGTTCATTGAGTCCTTTCCATACGTGATCAAGTACAAGCAGGGCAAAGAAAATGTAGTTGCTGATGCCCTATCTCGAAGGCATTCGTTGATCACGACAATGGGGGTGAAGTATTTGGGTTTCGAGCATATCAAGGAGCTCTATTATGATGATGCTGACTTTGGGGAGATCTATAGAGCTTGTGAGCAGCATGGCGATGGGAAATTCTATCGAAGTGATGGCTACTTGTTTCGAGCTAACCAGTTGTGTATTCCTCGATCATCACTTCGAGAGTTGCTGTTGAAAGAGGCTCATGGAGGAGGCTTAATGGCACATTTCGGTGTAGACAAGACGCTGAGTTGTCTACAAGAGCACTTCTATTGGCCGTACATGAAGGGAGACGTGGAGAATCTGTGTGCGAGGTGTGTGGAGTGCAAGCAGGCCAAGTCGAAGGTGCAATCATCTGGATTGTACACACCGCTACCGATTCCATATGCTCCATGGATCGACATCTCTATGGATTTTGTGCTTGGTTTGCCGCGGACAAGGAAGGGAAGAGATTCGATTTTCGTGGTGGTGGATCGATTCTCGAAGATGGCACACTTTATCCCATGCCATAAGACTGACGATGCGGTTAACGTGGCTGATTTGTTTTTCAGGGAAGTGGTGCGATTGCATGGGATGCCGCGTTCCATAGTATCCGATCGAGATACTAAGTTTCTGAGTTTCTTCTGGAAGACGTTGTGGAGCAAAATGGGGACGAAGCTGTTGTTCTCTACTACATGTCACCCTCAAATCGATGGGCAAACAGAGGTGGTCAATCGAACATTATCCCAGATGCTTCGAGCTGTGATAAAGAGCAACATCAAGGTTTGGGAGGACTGCCTTCCCCATGTAGAGTTTGCTTACAACAGGATGGTGCACTCGACGACGAAGTTCACTCCGTTTGAGCTCGTGTATGGTTTCAATCCACTCACTCCATTGGATTTGATACCATTACCTTTGAATGAGCAGGTCAATCTCGATGGAGCCAAGAAAGCTGAGTTCGTGAAGAGTTTACATGAGAAGGCGAGATTGAACATTGAGAGAAGGACGGAGCAGATCATGCGCAATGTGAACAAAAACAGGAAACCGAGGCACTTTGAAGTTGGCGACTGGGTGTGGGTGCATTTGAGGAAGGAGAGGTTTCCCCAACAGAGGAAATCGAAGTTAATGCCCAGATGTGATGGTCCTTTCCAGGTGGTTTCGAAGATTGGAAGCAATGCCTACAAGATCGACTTGCCGGGAGAGTATGGAGTAAGTGCAACGTTTAATGTTTCTGACCTTGCACCTTATTTGGATGGCAATTCGGATTTGAGGGCAAATCCTTTTGAAGAAGGAGGGGCTGATGAGGACATCAATGGGCCAGTCACACGTGCTAAGGCAAGGACGTTGAAGGAGAAGCTTGCGACATATTTGGATTGCTACTTTGGAGCCATGGATGTGGAGCTATTTCGAGGGAAGCCATATATGATGATTCGAGTGGAGGAAGAAGGAGGAAGTGCTGAAGAGAAGGCAGATTGCAAGAAGCAGCCTTAACGGGTTTGCTTAACGGGTCCAGCCTTAACGGGTTTACTTAACGGGTCCAGGCTTAACGGGTTGGGCTTAACGGGTTTGCTGGGCTGTTTCCGAGTTTCCTTGTTTTAAAGTCGGTTTATGATTGTTTTTCCATGTTGGAGTCGGATTTGGGTTGTATTTTGCCTATTTAAAGGGCTGAACACGTTGGTTTTACCCTTAGACGATTATTATTGAATTTCAGAGGCTAAAGCCGAGTTCCCTACGCGAAATTTGCCCTAATTACTCTGTCGAGAATCTCCAGAGTGCTAGAGCGACTCTTATCAGCTAGGTAATCACCCTGGTTGTGGCGAGCTACCCATATCGATTGCCCTTTATTCCGAGTTGAATCTGTCCGATCGATTCATATATCGATTGCCCTTATTCACGGGTGAGTACTGTCCGATCGATTTCCATCCTATCTGGTTCTGTTTGGTTCGAGAAGCTTGACCCTGCGCAACTTTGATTATATCACCCATGCAAAGTAACAACAGGAAAGGAATGGGTTAGACACAATTGCAAGGCATCACGTAAAGCTAAACATTCCATAATAAATGGATCTTGAATTCCATCATAATATTTGCCAAATGCAAAGAGGAAAGTATATGTCCCTACTTTTTTATGTGTGTTGCTTTTTTATACTAAAAGTAAAGGGTAAAAGTGATATTTCACCCAAAAATTATCTTAACTATCACAAAACCAAACAATGTAAACTACAATACACCAATTTTCTTATATACATGTATATTATTATGCTTGCATTGATGATAATACATTGATTTAACTATCACCAACACCAAAAGAGAACTAATTCTTGCTTAGTCTACAATTACGACAACAATCCATACTTATCACCGCCATCACCAAGTCACCCTCCGCCTCCGGCCTCCACCCAATCCATTCTCTCTCTTTTATAGCTACTTCTTCACTGAAACGAAATGAGGAAAAGGGAGACCCGATAAATAAAGAAACAACGGAATTCCAATCCTCGCCTCAAAACCTTTGCTCCTCTTCTTATTCTTTCATTGCTCACCCCAGTTCCCAGTGCCGCTTCTTTGCTCCATCCATAGCTTGCTCAATCCGTCCAGATTCTTTGTGTGGTAATTTGTTGGTTGTTCTATGTGGGCTGGTGGGGGTAGAAAATTTCGGATTCCCTTGTTGGAAAGGTGCGTTCTTTTGTTTCCCCTTCTGGCCCCTACTATCTTTTTATCTCCATTTCTCTGTTCATGTTATGGGTTTTGCTTGCCAACACTTGCCCGATGAAAGCTGAGGAAGGAACGGGGTTACAGAGGAAGACTTGGGTTCTCTCGATTTTGGGCATTTCGATGGTAGTTTGGCCGATGGTGCATTGATGAGGGTGAATCTGCACGTGGAATAGATGATCGCTTTGTATTTTGGGATGATCGTCTGTATTTAGTCATGTTCAACCAATTTGTGTGTCGATCTCGCCCTTTCAAGAGTTGATGCTGCTATAACTATTGAAGGATCGTGCGAATTTCTGGGTTAAACTGATTGTTAGGCTTTTGATTTAGCTGGTTTCGTGCGTTCTGTCATCTCTGATGGTTTGCTTGGCTGCTATATGTATTTGTTTTTTGTGATCGGGTTTCCTTTTAGCTGTTCTTTGGTTGATGGGGGAAATCTGGATATGAACTTGGGTCTTCCTGTAATCGCTCTATTACAATTTAAGTATGAGTTGGATTGGAGATCAATTGAGTTGGCACTATGTGTTTCAGTTAGATGATTCTCATAATCTGGTGTTTGGCATGAATGTGTAAATTCGGTGTCACTGTTTAGGAAGCTAGGCTACTCATATGGTAGGATGCAACGAATTGATACTTATAGGGTTATAATCCTTAGGTTGATCATTCGATTGGCAGGTGATCGGTGTTATGCAACCCTGTGTTGATCAGTGTAGTGATTTCGATAGGAAGCGTTGTGGAAGAGTGACTTCCAATGGAATTTCAATTGATGATGTGCTTCATGCTGTTGTTTTTCCATGATGTATTATGGCTCTTTGTTGTTTGTACACGTGTACGGAATTTCAGAAAATTGGGAAGAAGAGAGATTGATCTAGTTTGTTAACGATTACAGGGGAAGCTGAGGAGGGCCAGCTTTTTTATTAAATAACTTCCCATCTGGAAGTAAGGATCTGGTATGAAGTTTTTCTCTTTTTCTTATTGTTATTTTCCTACTTACTGTTGTTTAGCTCTCTATTATATATGTTTTCTCCTAATTGCCCGTCTTACTTTTCCTTTTAGGCTATTGTTATTTATTGTTTCATTGTTCTGGAGGTTAGAGATATAAAGTGCTTGGCTTTTGCATGGGAAAAGAATGCCAGATTTGCAAGTTAGAGTTCGCCGATCACAGAGGGTGAAAAATAACCAGAACCCTTCTGGTGTAGTTGCTACTGCGGCACCTGGTGGTAGGAGAGGTACTGACGTACTGTACACCCTGGATACTGACTGATTACCAAGCAAGGTATTCATGGAATTCTCTTAATTGTTGTTTTTGTTTTTTTGTCTTGTCTTTATGAAGGACGTGGCAGAGGAAGGGGCTGCAGAGTGATGAATCATGACGATAATGCCAAGATTTTGGGTCAAGGACGCCCGGGTTTGGAAATGCCAGTTAGGCAACCAGTTGAGAAAATTGCTGAAAAATTGGTAGTTGGTGAAGAGGAAGGAAATGCCAGTCCTCTACCGGAAAGGGTACTGATCTTCTTTGCCAGATTCTGGCAGTGTCTTGACTTTTTTCTGTTGTTTTGAGTTTGGATAAATGTCGGCAGTATGAGCTGTTACTGTAGCGTCTGGTATTCATCTAAGATGCAACTAATATTTCAGAACTTCCAGAAGTACATTGGAAGATATAGACTAGGTTTAGCATGGAGAAAATTTCCGCGAACTTGATGTGAAGTGTTATATGCTTGTTCATCTTGAAATTGTGTGGGTGACAGATAGTATCTATTTTTCCCTCTCATCAATAGGTGAAACTAGGAAACTCTCCGGTGTACAAAATAGACAGAAAGCTTGGGAAAGGAGGCTTTGGGCAAGTTTATGTTGGAAGAAGGGTGTCAGGCGGCGCTGGGCGCAATGGTCCTGATGCCTATGAGGTTTGTCCCTTATTCTCTTTATCAATTTATGCATATTATTTACTCATTTTGTTTTGTACCTGATGACCTTTGTCATTTTTGTTTCTGGATCTCTAATTTCTTTCAAATTTTGTAGCTTGCTTTGAAATTTGAACACAAGAATAGTAAAGGATGCAATTATGGTCCTCCTTATGAGTGGCAAGTATACAGGTAGGGCTTACGAGTGGTTCTGTGGAATGTTTTGTTTTACTTTACGTTATATGACCTAACAGTCTTTTTTTTTTGTATCGACTCTTATGAAGCACCCTCAATGGTTGTTATGGGCTTCCCTTTGTCCATTACAAAGGCCAACAAGGAGATTACTATATCCTTGTAAGGCACACACTCTCTATAATTGGTTAAACTTCTCTCTGATGCTGACATCAGTTATTCTCAGTCTCTTATTTCTGGACCTTCTTTCTCTTCAGGTAATGGACATGCTTGGGCCAAGCCTCTGGGATGTGTGGAACTCTAACAATCAAATGTACAAGATTTCTCTATTTTCTTATTGGCGCTGTTTGCCTTCAAATATTTCGTTGCTGTTCTCAGAGATGTTTAATGTTAAAGCCTTATGTTTTTACTGAAAAATGCGATGCAGGCTGTCTGAGCAGATGGTTGCTTGTATAGCAGTGGAGTCGATATCCATTCTAGAACAGCTGCACTCAAAAGGGTAATGTGAAACCATCAAAATTTCTCTCTTAAAAAAAAAAAAATCATACGGTATAGTATGTAATGCATTCCGTATTATTTCTTAGCTTTGTGCACGGAGATGTTAAGCCAGAGAACTTTTTGCTCGGTCAGCCTGGCACACCTGAGGAGAAGAAATTGTATCTAGTCGATCTCGGTTTGGGTATGCCTCCGTTTCTATCTTTTTCTTTTTATATAATTCTTGGAATGTTGGAACTTCATCTTTCTTTATGGGAGAGCCGATGTTGGAACAATAATTTCATTTCAGCTTCAAGGTGGAAAGATACAGTATCCGGTCGGCATGTGGATTATGACCAAAAGCCTGATGTTTTCAGGTGATCGGCCTCTGATGTTTAATGTCTCTTGGACTAGTGAATGATTACGTTTTGTGAGATATTCCTGTTTTGTTTTGGGAACTAATATCTAGAGTTTTGTCAGCATGATGCTCGTGGAACTGCTCTTTTACAGCTTTGAGATTTCCGAGAGTTTATCAAGAATATATTTGTTCAATTTTTAGAGGGTGTTTCTTTAAACAATAATATTTTTGCTTTCAGGGTGTCTTTGTAGAGTTATTCAGTAATGGTCTGTGAGTTTGCATTCACATTTTGCATGTAAGAAGATGAACTAGACTAACAAAGTTATCCAAGTTTTGTAACTCCAACAAGAAAGGGGATATTTTTCTATGAGCCTTTGTGAATTGTGTGATGCCACAAAACTCTCATGGACCACCTTTCGCATGATGTCTGGAGGGTTTCTGTCTGAGAAGTTTAGATGTGTGGAGGAAAGCTAATATATTTGTTCTCTTCCTCGCTTTTTAGCAGATGGTTATGATTCTCATAGTATTTCTGTCCTCTGAAAAAGTGTCTGAAGTGGGTGTCCATATCTCTGTTGGCTCTGCAATGTTTCTAAGTTTACATTCCAGAAGGAAGATAGTGTTGCCTGTGTCTAATTGATTTTCCTTTTCTGTCTATCGTGCTTTTGTAGGTTCCTAACACCCAATAACGGCATTTCCCCCTAATTTATGCAATAACCAGATTTATGTTACATTTTCACAGAGGCACTGTGCGGTATGCTAGTGTACATGCACATTTGGGTAGGACGGGGAGCCGTAGGGATGACCTTGAGTCCCTAGCTTATACCTTAGTATTCCTTCTTAGGGGAAAGCTTCCATGGCAAGGCTACGTGGTAACTATACATTTCACAAAAATCTACATATCCAGCCTTCTTTTCTTCTGCAAAAACATGATGGTTTGGTTGTGATGCAGGGTGAAAACAAAGGATTCCTTGTCTGTAAGAAGAAGATGGCTACTTCTCCTGAGATGCTGTGTTGCTTGTGCCCTCCTCCGTTTCAACATTTTCTTGAGATGGTGACCAATATGAAATTTGACGAAGAACCGAATTACTCGAAGCTCATATCCATTTTTGATAACAGTATAGGCGCCAATGTCTTGTTACGGCCCATTCTAACTGATGGGGCCATAAAGGTTGTATACTGGTTGACTAGTTGGTATTACTCATGTTAGGTTGTTTGTGGTCTTTTGGTTTCTAAACTATGCTTTTGGTCTCCAATGTGCTGTAGGCTGGCCAAAAGAGGGGAAGGTCTCTTGTTGGCTTGGGAGATGGTGGTCAACCGAAAAAGAAAATTCGGCTTGGGACTCCTGCTACACAGTGGATTTCAGTATACAATTGTAGAAATTCAATGAAGCAGAGGTACATGATCATGTCTACAGAGGTTGTACATCCTCACTTGGTGATATAACGAGCTTATACAATAATCGAAATAACTAACATGCTGGTTTTGAATTATGATATAGTTTGCCTGATTAATGTAAATTGGTAAAGTTGACGCTTATTACTTGCTGTTCGCATCCCTTAGCTATAGGAGCACTTATTCCAGCCTTGGTTTTGGAGTCTTAAATACCATAGTCTTAGATTGCTGATCCAGTGATGGGAACTCTTGTCCTGCAGGTATCACTATAATGTTGGAGATTCAAGGCTTGGGCAACATGTAGACAAAGGAAGGGAAGACGGTCTATTCATTAGCTGCATCTCTTCATCGGCTAATTTGTGGGCGGTTGTCATGGATGCAGGAACTGGGTTCAGTGCCCAGGTTTATGAATTATCTCGCATTTTCTTGCCCAAGGTTGGTATTCTTCGCTCTTATGGTATTCATATGGAAGTCCTTGGCCAGCATCAGCTAATGCTTTATTATTTTCTGATATTCTCGTCAGGAGTGGATAATGGAGCAGTGGGATAAGAACTTTTACATAACTTCTATCGCTGGGACAACTAATGGAAGTTCCTTGGTGGTTATGTCAAAGGGTAGAGATACATTAACTAATTTTTTTATAAAGCTTTTTAATATATTCCATTTGTTTGATCAACCTAGCCATCATGACCTGGGGAAGTCGTTTTATTCTTGATCATGAACGATTTTAATTGATTGGTGGCTTGCTGAACTTAGGCAGACTGGGCTAGCAGAGGTTTGAAGCCTGTTATCATTGAAGGATTTTCCATTCTGTTTCTTGAAGTTTATGATTTTCATGAATAAGTGTTTGGTGGCTTCTGAACTTGGCGGGATTGGATTAGGCAAACCTTGCTCAATGATTTAACCTTAGTCCACAATAGGTGGTTTCGGAAGGATACTTTTCAATCTCTTTCCTGCTGTGAATAGTGATGTTTCGTGTTGAATTGTAGCAATTTTGGATTTTGAAGAATTCCCTAATCAATGACAAGTAGTATAGGCGAGGAAGCATGTCTATGTAGTAGGTGTGATGAACCGTGAGTGATGATGAACCAGTAGTTCACTTACTATACAGTTCTAGAAGTTTCTAGTGCATGCAGTCAATAGCTTAGAAACTTTTACCCTTGAGTCTGTATTAGCTAATATGCTAATTGTTTTTGTATAGCTTTTTGCTTACTACATCTGCAATTTTCTCTCTTGTTTTGGTAATTGTTTTTGGTAGGGACTGCATATACACAGCAATCCTACAAAGTTAGTGATGTATTCCCTTTCAAATGGATCAATAAAAAATGGAAAGAAGGATTTTCTGTTACCTCAATGACAACTGCAGGCAGCAAGTGGGGGATTGTAATGTCCAGAAATGCAGGTTATCCGAACCAGGTTGGGTTAATGATCTTACCACACTGCTTGGTACATCTATTTGTGAAGGAATTTATATCACAATGCTTATATGTTGCCTCTCTCTCTCTCTCTCTCTCTCTCTCTCTCTCTCTCTCTCAACTAGGTGGTTGAACTCGATTTCCTTTACCCTAGTGAAGGGATCCATAGAAGATGGGAGAACGGATACCGAATTACTGCAGCAGCAGCTACAGCCGACCAGGCTGCATTCATTCTTAGTACTCCCAAGAAGAAAACACCCGAAGTTGCTCAAGAAACCTTGAGGACTTCTGCTTTTCCTAGTACCCATGTTAAGGTAAGCCAGAAAGTTTCATGGTTCTATGCGAATTGAATAAACAAGCATAATATCAGAGTTGTGATCCCTTCCCTTTTGGCCCACGCATCATGTGATTTATCCTTGGACAATCGATCTTTCGAGACGCTAAACAGTTAGGACAATCAACCGAGTGATTCATCTCTTTTATCTTTCTTTTTAGCCAAGCAACTGTTGTTTTCATATCATTCGCTTAATGTCTACTGTCTAAGAAGGAAGAGTTATGAACCTTTTTTTTTTGTGTGTGCATGCTGATAGGATAAATGGTCAAAGAATCTGTATATTGCATCAATATGTTACGGAACGGTATCTTGAAGCTGCTGGCTGGTTGGGGGAGGCCGCCTGTCTCCCAATGAAGAAGCAGGTACTTGCTTAATTTTTTTTTTTTTTTTTTTTATCTCTATTAGTGTCGCAAAAGCTTACTTCTTCTTGGTGGAAGTGCGAGCTTGCATATTTGGTGTGGTGGAAATAGTTGACAGTCTTTGTAACACAATATAGGTTGGTCGGATCACTTCTTCGCACTGGTGTATTGCCTGCCGAAGACTTTTGGGTATGGAGCGAGAGTAATATGGCTGGAGGAGTTCTGTTTTTGGCTGTTGTAGAGGGGTTACCATATCACTCAATGGTGAAGAATATATCCTGAATGCCCGGTAGAATGGGCCACGCCACGAGCATCGATATTCATGTCTTTTGGCTGGCTCATTCTGGCTTTTGCCTTGGAACAAACAGAAAAATGTTGTATAGTGATTAATCTATCATGCGGGGATAAGGCTATGATGGCTGCCCTGTTCTTTGTTTGGTAACTGGTGTAGTAAGCTGGAGAAGAACCATTGTCTGGTATACACAAGAGTCGGAAAGGAACAGGATGGATTTCAGGGAAACGAAAAGTCTGGAGGGTGTTAGGTTTGCTACGAGGAAAGGTTCCTTGCCTCCTGTTGTAATGAACTTAACACGAGAAAGAAGAAAAACATGTACTTGGCTCCCTGCCGTCCCCCTATTACTTCATTATTATTATTATGGCCTGATTGATCTATGATTCATCTCATCCATGTGTATAAATTTCTTTTCGAAGTTTCATGGGTACTGACAGAATCAAGATGTAATCTGGGGCAATACCCTTTTTGCCTTCTGTGATTTGGTATCCTTTGGTAACGTGATCTTTTATCTGCAAATCTGAAAGGCGCCATTAGATCAAACTGTATGTGCCCACTGCTTAATTTCAACGGATGAGAATTCGTGTCTTCAAAACTTGGAACGTGAGAGGGCGGATAGTGATCATCAATGCCACATACAAAGAACATGATGGAAGTTTCCACATCGGGGAAAATTGCTTAGTTTAAAGATTTGACAACCCCACTAAGTAGTTTGGTTCACGTATCAGTTCGGATAGAAACTGTAAACTCTTTTACTTCTCTGTTCCATCATCCATGGTAATGATAATTATCCCAGTACTGAAGTAGTACCATCTAAAACTTCCTCTATTACGAAACACTTAGCTGTTTCGAGGGAATCAATTGAAAGATAGAAATATCATGTGTTTAGTCTGTCAAAATCCGGACCTTTCTGCAAACACAAACCAGCAGAGCAACTTCGAGGAACCAGAGACTGGGTCTGAGCTCTCATTGTTGGACTGGTTTGAGTCTTGAACTAACTGTAGAGCTCAGGCTTCAAGACACCAATATAGGGCAAATTCCTGTATACTTCTGCAAAGTCCATTCCATACCCCACTACGAAGTAATCTGGACACTGCAACATAGAAAACAAAGCTCAACCGGATTACAGCATGCCAGCAAAGACACAAACTTTAACAGATGAATTTTATATTCAAAGACACAAACTTTAACACTAGATTGATACTGGGGTTCTCAATAAAGTTACGAACTTTCACGATCTGTGAGCTGTGATGTATGGAGGGATGGGAGGGCTATGCATTTTACAAGAGCATCTGGTGATGAAATGGGGCTTTAATGGTTTTGGTTTCCTACTTACTTCTGAACTGCTCTTCGGTTGCTTCATTCAATAACAGTAGAAGGAAATGCTACCAAACCAAGGTCAGGAACTCGGTTTTCTTCACAAAGTAAAGTTCTTTTGTGCGAATATGAAAGCAGGTAAGCGTCGACGAGAGCTAGGAAAGGGAAACCCAAACCTCGAATCCTCTGTAGTACTTTCCACTACCCACAACCTGAAACTCAACCTTCCGTCTCGCCGGCTTATCAAGAAACGCACACACCGACACCGACGACGCCCCCTTCTTCTCCAAGTGGCTGATCAGGCTCGCCAATGTGCTCCCCGTATCCACAATGTCCTCCACCTGTGGAGTAATTCTTATTTCCCCAGTTCCAATTAAAGGCAACGAAACTGAGAGAGGGAGTCGCTTACCAGAATGACGTGTTTTCCCCTGACGTCGGCCTTCAGGTCGAGGGACAGCCGTGGAGCGCCGGCGGACTCTGTTCCGCAGCCGTAGGAATCGGCGCGGATGAAATCTACTGAAATCGGCAGCTTGATTTGCCTGACTAAGTCGGCCAGGAAGACGAAAGCTCCCGTGGCGACTCCGACGAGGACAGGGGCCGGGGAAGCAGCGGGAAAGTCGGAGGTGATCTCCGCGGCGAGCTCGGCGACACGGTCGGAGATTTCGCCGGCCGTCCATAGGACCTTCTCTATGTGAGAGTCCAGAGCCATAGCCGCAAAGAGACTGAGGCGGCCAGAGTTACAGAGAGGGTTTTTTTATATAATCACTTTTTCTTTGTTTAAATCGGCGAAATCATGGCCGTGCGAAAACGACACCGTTCCGATGATATTCTGATAAGAGGCTAAGAGCCCACACTGGAATTACAGGGTTTTAGATTGAGACCAGTACATTAGCAGTGTTCTTATGGTTTGATCAGACATTGCTAACTAAGAAAATCATTGCCGAAAGAAAATTCGATCCACAACATCGACCGGCAAGGCATGAGCTGGATCGATAGCTTTGACTCCTGGGTATTCGAGGAACGACAGTCCTGCAACAACAGACATATTGCACAAAAGTTTACATCACTCAGAGACTAGTGGGTGTTAGTATGGGAAGAGAACTGCAGAATTCCTTTCTGTTAATTATGATTTACTTACCAGCAACTCCGAAATATGTATGAAAGATATCAACTGTGTCATCCGGCCTGTCTGAGATTCCTCCATTCTCCATGTCCTACAATGTTCCCATTAGTGGTTAAAGGTAAACAATCTATTTAAATTAATGCCACAATGGAAATGTAGAGTTTAGTTGATACCTGACAACTCAAAATGAACTTGAGAAGCTTCTCTTTGCTAATCCAATGAGCTCTATCGATCATAGTGAGGCTAGAAAGAACCCACCACGAATAGCAAACCTGTATTGGTTAGTTCAACATAACCCGTGCATAGTCAGTACTTGGGCAGAAAAATGAATTAACACACCTAAGAGAAATATACTCTTAACTTACATCGGGAAGCTTCTCAGGTCGGCCATTAAGACCCCCAGATTTCACTTGTCGTTCACACAGCCACCATCCGAGAAGGTCCTTGTCAACATAATGTAGAGCCCCAGTAATAGCAAGGGCAGCCACACAGCAGAATACTTCAAACAAGGAGCAAAGAAAAAGCTTTTCAGTTCTAAATATACTCAGAAACGAAAGATAACAGATATAGTGATATTAAGAACATTATACTCTGTCCAGCATGAGACTCCCCCCCAGGAGTGCATCCGAATCCACCATCTACGTTTTGACAACTTCTGATATAGTTTACAGCCTTCTCCACATTTATCTTGTCCAAGCATTTCAATATCGAGAGACCACATAGTGAAATTTAAGAGAACCTGGCAAATAAAAGGGCATGGCCTAGTGAGGGACCAATTTACTAGTTCTAGATAAGCATGCTATCCTTAAATAAGGAGGGGGGTTGTTCTTGCAGGAGAGCTATCGGGAAATTTTGGAATCAGTACCGTGTATCGACTTCTCCCCAGATGTCTCCGGAAAAGGATCCATCTTCATTTTGCAGTCCAGCAATATCTGAACTTAACATTTACTTTAATTTGAACCCTTTTCTCTGCCCTCTCTCTTCTTCTCGGTTCCACTTTCCTTCTTTTTCCAGGGGCTGCCGCCGGCTCCTTTTGGTGACCGGCGGCAGCTCAAGCCCTCCATTCCTCTTTTTTTTTTTTTTTTTTTTTCCTTCCTTTTCTTTGTGCTCATGTTAATCCTGGCCTTGTTCTAGGTGTTTTTCCTTCGGATTTCCAGCTTTTCCCTGCCGTTGTGGCCTTCAGCTTCCTTTCCAGTCGAGCTTTGTCTCTTCTTTTCCCGTCGAGCTTTGTCTCTTCCTTCGGTTCTTGGTACTCCTGTTCAAGGTTTGCTCGTTGTAGGATCCGGAGTTTGCAGTTTGGTGGGTGCCTATTCCAGATCTGGATGGTGGTGATTTTTCCAGATTGGTGGTCTCATCCTTTGATGAAACCATTCTCTTCTTTCCCTTTCCGACCTCCACTTTGTGTTCGTGTTGCGGGGTGAGTCGTCGGATCGTGGAGGGTCGGGTCTTCTCCGGTGGTTGTGGTTGGTAATCGGTGTTCTCCGTGGAGATTTGTGGCTCCTTTGTGATCTTCTGCTCTGCTTCAAACATGATTTCTCTGCCTCAGCTTCCTCTGCCTCTGTCAGCTTGGAGCAATCCGTTCAAATCATTTTCCACCGCCATGCAATCTTGTTTCTAGGATTCACTGTGATGGATGCCGTTGAGTTATCCCCAGGAGGCGGCATATGGTTGATGTAATCACTAGCCATGGATTTCGAGTTGATCGGACAAGCTGATTTCGCTCTTGTTGCATTCTAAGTGGTTGGTTGCAAGAGAGATTTCTGATGTACTGGTTTTTTCAAGGGTTCGATTCTGTTGGATGGTTGCTGTCAAACTGTGTTGTGCTCTCTGTTCTTGCTTTTGCTTTTCATGGTTTGATTGTAACCGAGTTCTCTTTTCCTTCTTCTTGTTAAACCAGAATGTTGGTATGTTGTCTCTTTGTATCTGACCGGTTAAAATGCAATAAAGACTCTCCTTTGTCAAAAAAAAAAAAGCAAAAACTTGGGCGGATATCTTGGAAGTCCTTGTTTCTCATTTAAATTGCCAAATTGCCAGCCATATAGATTAATGGAGAATTCCAGCTACTACACTCATGCATTCATCAGTTAAACATGAACTAATTGAATGACAATGAACATAAGTATAGTCTCAGAGCTTGTAAAGGATACAATTTGAGACTTTGTCCACGTCAAGAACATTAAGTTTGTTAAAAAGGGCCAGAACCTGAATGGCCAACATTACCAGCAAAACCACCTGCAAACAAAGAGCATCATCATCATCCATGTTTTTCCACCATGTGCTCGGAACTAAACTGCATGACTAATCAATCATCAATGACTCCCATCCTAGATTGTTAAACAACTAAATTTGGCAATCAGCATAGGGAAGCTCAAAGTTTCTTCACAAACCAGACTCGTGTTGACACTTCATGATCCATTTGATAATCTCGTCGGAATCCACCACGTCGCCCAGCAGATCCAAAGTGGTCAACCCCCAATAAGCCCCATTCACTCGCAAGTGCTCCATCACAGCAGATTCAACACTATCCTTTCTCTAGAAAGGCAGAAACCAACCACCAGAACAAAGACAGAATCAGAAAATGGCTGTTGAATCATCAAATTCACAATCACCACAGATCCATAAATTCCAAACCAACCTTTTCAACTGACAGGATGTACTCAACATGCTTATCAGCTGCTAGCTCACCCATCTAAAAGATCAAAATAGTGTTGTAGTTTAGCTATCTCAAAAAGAAGAGAAGACAAAGCAAGAGCACTTCATCCATCTTAGCTTATACGAATCCCAGGTCTCAACACAAGAACATGGCGTTCAAAGTTGCCCAACTTCTGTTTGAGGAGCTAACCCAATAACTCCAGTGAATTGCTGAATTGCAGGAACTTGGGTTTCCAATGAATTACTGAAATATAAGCGAGCTGCTTACTCAATCTGTCGAAGGCCGAAGCGCACCGTCGGGGGGATTCTAGTTTGCCGCCGGTGATGAATTGCAGAGAGTGGAGGAAATTCAGCTGGCAGAGAAGATTCTGTTAAAACGAAGACGGAAAGACGGATTGAGGTTAAAGATAGTAAATTCGATACACCAAAAAGTCAACAATGGAGTACCCACTTCATTTTGCAGTAGTAAACCCGTAAACCTAACTAAAATCTATGTCGCATCCCTCTTCTGCAATCAGATTGCGATCGAGAACACCTTTAGATTGATGGTTGCCTAAGCTACAGAACTGAAGCTACGATTCAATCCACTGCTTAAGTGACGTAGCAAAGTGACAACTAGAGAAAAGCCAATCGATTCCATTACCAATTAGATGAACCCTAGATAGCTAGCGATCAAAATGGCTCTCTTGGTTCTGCGTCTGGTAATTCAGTTTTCCCGTGAAAATGAAAGAGAGAGCTAGTCAAGTAAAGTCAAGCCAACCACGGCATATGCATTGGGTTCATAGTTCATACATATTTACCGAAGTATTACAGGTAAGTTATGCATAAAATACATATGATTATTTTATATTGTATTTGAATGAACTATATGTTTAATAATACACCAATATTTATAAGATATATGTAATTAATTATTTTAAAAATAAACGTGTGAATGATATTTAAGTTCTCAATTTAACTCATTAAAGCGAGTTACAAGTTCATGTATGTCATAGGAATACATTACACCATATTATACTTTGAGAACGAGACTGCAAGACTGCAAGTCTAGTCCCTTTGAGGTAAGTATGGGGGCTGGATACGGTCACTTCCCCAGTTCCCCTAATGAGGTTGTGTGATTCACAACCAAGAGTATTTTTGGTATGACAAAAAAATAAATTTGTTAATTAATTTTTTTGTATTAATTATAGATTGGGAATTAAAAACTCATATAAATACATACTTTTTTAAATCCTACAATAAATACAACTCTCTCTCTCTCTTTCTATCTCTCTCCTCCTTTTCGAGAAGCCAATCCACTCCGACCGGCTGATTTTCCGACCGACAAACTTTTTCCGGCGAAATTCTTGAATCAGACTCGCTTCAGACGCCTGCAAAAATTACCACTCTGTCAGTGCGTTAGTGGTATGCTCCCACTACCACGGGTACCACTACCAGTACAACGCTACCACTACCATTTGGTAGCGTACCACTATCATTTGGTACCTGGTAATGGTAGCTACCAGTGGTAGTGGTACGCTACCACTCGTAGTGTACCACTAGAGGCTAAGACAGAAAAACCAGATCTGGAATCTGAAAAATCTCAGATTTGGAAAAAAATAAGGGATGAGCGAAGGGGAAGGCAGAGGAGAGGTGGTTACCTCGTGGCGGCGGCGGCGGTGTGAAGACATGAGGTGGTGGAAGGCGGAGAAAGAAGGGAAGGGGTGCGACTTTGATGGTGGCGGCCGTGGGAAGCAGTTGCAGCGGCAGAGGGCAGCGGGAGGACTACGACGGGGAGAGGCTGTGATGGTGGTGGCGCCGGAGGGCGGAGGGAGGGCTGGATGGTGGTGGCGCCGATGGCAGGGGCGGATGGGATGAAGAAGAAGAGGGAGAAGAAGGGAGAACTGGTGGTGGTGGCTGCAGAGAGAGGGGGGATCTGCTTAGGGTTTTTAGAGAAAGGGAAAGAATATGTAAATTAATAGTAGTAGTAATCCAATGTGGTTAGTTTTTTCCATTCCAAAAATCCCTTCGTGTAATCTTAACCATCGATTTAGGCTGCAGCATCAAGGAATAGTCAATCCCTACATAGCAGAGCTTCTAGCCTTTAGAGACTCTATCTCCATCGTAGCCTCAAGATCCTTGACCCGCGTGATAGTCGAAGGTGATTCCGAAGTGGTCGTCAACCAAATCTGTTAAGGCATCATAGAAGACTCGATTGGTGGTCCGGTGCTACGAAAGTGTCATCAGATCCTTAGCTCTTTGTCTATTTGTATAGAGTTTAGGGCGGTACCTAGGTCCGCCAACAGTGCTGCCCATAGAGTGGCGCGTAAAGCACTGCTTTTGCTCGTCTAGAGCTAGAATCTTTTGATTTTTTGGGGTGGCTTCTTTAGAGTCTTTTAGAGGTCATGGGTAGAATTGTAAGTTTAACTATTATCCTCCATTGATGTTAACCAATAAATCTTGACCAAGTTTTTTTCCCCAATAGTCTTGAGCCAATTTCATTTAATAAAAAGAAAGAGGATGATAATGTTGAGGTCTTCGCCACCATCTCAGCAATAAACTCCAGCTGGAATCAAATCATCAAAATCAATTGGGTGATCACGGGGATGGAAAGTGGCGATTTTCAAAGGGAAACAAAGAAGGAAAGTCTAACGGCTATTCACTGGAGTTTTTAGTATAAATATAGCGCCAGGAACGGGAGAAAGGGCAGACTTTTCAAGCGAGACAAATTCATAGCACAGGAGAGTATTGTGTGAGAAGTTTGTAAGAGAAACGTCTGCACAGGAGCGGTAAGGACTTCTGGGTACTGGTACATGGTTGTATCAGGGGTTTCTATTGGCGGGTTAGCTGATAAGAGTGTGAACAGTAACTGACAATTAACCTTGTGCTGATCTGACGGGAAACTACGGTGTATTTCAGAGAGCTTCAAGAACACATATTTAGTGAATTGTCAGAAATCGCAAGAGCGCGATTCTCTGACCGTGGATTAGTCGGATTTGGGTTCGTTAATCACCTAACACCGGATACCACGTTAAAATTGGTGTCTTGTTCCAATTCTCCGCATTAAGTTAATTCTGTTGTTTTTAACCAGCTTTACTCTGTTCTTGCTTCTGGTTTAAAGGTAAGCTGCATGGGATAGTTCGATCCAATCAGAGTGAAGGGAAGGAGCAAATTGTGTGGGTGAAATGGTGAGTATTAGGTAAGTCATTTGGGTCTGGCGTTTGAAGTGTGCAGGCCAAACAGAAGAGTTTGAGTGGGCTTGTGGGTAAGTTTTAAGTGATTAATTATTGGGTTCTGGTCTATTTCCACCAAGACCAAGTGTGATGTGTCTCAAACACGAGTGAGGAGGAAATCTTCCTTTCATTTCGATCAAAATCTTGTTCTTGTTGAAACCCTCTCATCTGTTCTTGGCGAAAGTGACGATAAGGGTTTTGCAAGTGCTGTAGCCAGTCAAGAAAACAAAGGAGAAGACCGATTTTTCTCGCGCTCGACGCCTACAACATGTGGTATCAGAGCCCGATTCCGTCGAAGAAGGTCAAACGATCTCCGGAGTAACCAACATGACGTCGAGTTCTGGAAAGGGGGTTGCTCTTTATCTCGCGAATGAGTTTTCACAAAATCGGCTACCAAGGTTCAAAGGAGTGAATTACGGGTACTGGAAGAATCGAATGGAGTTGTTCATTGGTTCAACAGATCCAAAACTTTGGGCAAGATTTATTAAGGGTCCGCATGAGCTCAAAACAGATCAAGAAAAATGGACCGACGAGGATTATGAGAAACATCAGCAAAATTGCAAAGCCACGAATCTTATGTACTGTTCGCTTGGGCCTGAGGAATACCACAAAGGTTTTGGGTGCAAAACTGCAAAAGAGACATGGGATAAACTTCAGGTAACCTACGAAGGCACTTCTCAATTTAAAGTTTCCAGGATCAACATGCCAAAAATAGAGTTTGAAACGTTTAAGAGGAATGATGGGGAATCAATTAGGGATATGTCGGAGAGGTTCACAAATATAGTGAACAGTCTGGAAAACTTGGAAGTGTCATATGATAGTGGTGATCTAGTTAGAAATATTATATGGTCTCTGCCTAAGAAATGGGATCCGAAAGTAACAGCGATAGAAGAGGCAAAGAATCTTGTTGCACTAAATGTCGATGAACTCATAGGGTCATTGGCCACTTATGAGGAGAAAATCATAAGAGAAAGTGGAGAAGAACAGAAGAAGGAAAGAAAGGAAATAGCCTTCAAAGCACAAGTCTATGAGGAAGAGCCTGATGACTACGATGATATGGACGATGATGAGCTGGCAATGCTCGGTAAGCATATAAAGCAACTCAT